TCCTGTCCCTAGCCTCTCCAGCCTGTTCATAGTGGTTTTATATATTCCACTTTACGCGGCCATTGGGGCTCAAAAATCATTTTATTTTGGTTAGGAGCCCCGTAAATAAAGATATTTCCCTTCCGAAGTTTGTCTTTGCTAATTTTCCACGTGGCAATATAATAAAGAGAGAGTTAAGTATATGCACAGAGAGTGAATGAGGAATACCTGGTGCATCAAGGTAACAATGGTGAACCAGAAGCTGTTAGCCAATGAGAACTGGTTTTCCACCACGTCTGAGTCATGGACACAAGGATGGGGGTTCTGCCACTCATAGGGGGAGAACCTGGCGACGATGAACATGGTGGTACTGACGAGGACATAGGCGGCCAGGACGTAGAGCCAGATGTCTACAGCCAGTGGACTCATGAAGGAAAACAGACGCACGGGCATGTTCTTGGGTAGCTTGAACAAGATCCCAATCCCCAAGTTCATGAAGGGCTTGGTGAAGTCGATAACACTTTCCCGGACATAGTTGATAGTCATGGGGGCCACTGCCAGGTCGGCGTTCTGCGACACAAATCACACGATTGCGACAAATTACATAAAAAACATAAGGTACAGCTTCCTTAAAAACTTGTCGTAAAGATAGAGGCTGCCTGGCCGGAATTCATATTGTCATAACCAAAAATGTACATAGCTTGTAACTGTAAATAATACATCGGCAGCTTGGCGAATGTTATGTACCTAAGCCCCGATAGATGGCGCGCGCTATCAGCTTGGCAAGTGTTATGTACCCAAGCTCCGATAGATGGCGGGTGCGCTAGGCGGGAAGTTTGTAAACAATAGCCACCATCTTGAGGGGTGGAGCCGATCGCCAGCCGTTTGTGTCTCTGACATTACTTCCTTAATTTACCATTATTTTTATCCATTTAAATTAGTTTACCTCTATTTCTTTTTATCACTCAAACTATTTAAAGTCATCTAATAAATTATTATTTTATTCTACCCAAACGTCACCTTCATTACTGTGACAATATTTATTAAAATTAAAGATACTTCGGCCAGTAAATCCTTTTTAATATCTCAACGTTTCAACAAAAATATTTTGTCCTCGTCAGGAACAAATAAAAATTAAAACATTTGGCAAAGCGTTAAAAAGTATTCTCTTTTAACGCTTTGCCAAATGTTTTAATTTTTATTTGCTCCTGACGAGGACAAAAGATTTTTGTCGAAACGTCGAGACAATAAAAAAATATTTGCTGGCCGAATTATCTTTAATTTGGATAAATATAAAAAACTTAAATTCTTAACTTAAAAAATTCCATCCTTTAGTGTAGTATATATAATCAGAATGATCCAATACAGTATTAGAGCTCTATAGAAGCGGTCTGGTGGATTAAATTGGTGAAACCGCTGGGAGGATTTACCACTGATGAGTCAAGCCTTCCCAATATTTTTCATTGCAGAAAGGATAGTTTGATTTATTTGTGAAAAGAAACATTCACGTCTTAATGTCTTCATGCGTTATATATAGATGGCACGGTATTGCTTTGTATTCCTTAAGTTTTGTCCATGAGTATATCTACACTAGCCGAATGACCCGGGCAACGCCCGTGTTTTACCCGATTGAATGTTTTGATTCAAATACTATTTGTTACAATTATAATTTGGCGCCTTAAATAAATGCATATTTTAGTTAATAACTATAGCCTATGTGCTTTATCTGTCTATGTACTGTTGGCTTCCGTAGGCGTCTCTTACAGGGAAAAAGAAAGAGAGGATTACATTTGGTTATTAACTAATATATGCATTTATTTAAGGAGCGACCCGCTCCAACACAATAATTACATAAACGAAAAGGCGAGGGGGGGGGGGGGCAAAGGTGGCGTGACCGTAGCCAACCAATAGGAGGGCGCCATTCAAAAAAAAAAAAGCAAACGGTGACAGAGATGAAAACAGATGACTGATTGATTAGGAGATGAGGAATGACGCTCGTAACTGTATATAGAATATTAGTCCAATCCCACCAATGAGAGTGCAAGTAACCAAACAGGGCTATATAACACTTGTAAGTATAAAAATCCTATTCCTTTCTACATATGTAGGTATATGAGTATATAGTGTACTTAAAGTAAGAGCAGTCGCTAAATACCCATCATGATTATCATGGCCTGTACCACGAATTACTAAGGACTAGAAAAGACACTTTTTATGTCCACTAATGTAGAAAAGGTCCATCATTAGCATTAATCTCTATTCATGATAAAATTTTGAAAAAGTTTTAAAATTACAGAATCTCTCATTTCCAATGAATATAACAGCATAAACAGGAAGATATCATCACAATATCTTAGATATCTTAGAGGGGGGGGTCGGTGGAAGGCTGGTTAAGCGTTTGGTTTTCGACCACTACGACCCGGGTTCGATTCCCGAATTGGGCACTTTTTTCTGTTAAAAAAAAAGAAAAAAGAAAAATTCTCCAATGGCCCCCGATTCTTGCAAAAGTCCAACCCCACCAGCGAGTACAAGTAACCAAACGGGGCTCTGGCATATTTGTAAGTGCAAAGTCGATCTGATTTTCACATGTGTAGACATGTGGTGCGCTTACAGTAAAAGCAGTTGCTAACTACCCACCATGATAAGAAAGAAAGGCTTTGAGATAAGAAAGAAGAAGAAGAAGGGATATCTTAGAAGAAATCAATAGATCAGTTTTATAGGTTCTGGATGCCCTAAAAATGTAAATAGACATATTCCATAACATTGTTAAATTACATATCAATTTAAACATTTCAGTTGTAAATACACGCTGCGCGCGTTTGTTTTGTAAATATTTCTTGTAAGATATAGTCGATGTTTTATTAAGCCCGTTGAAAAGTGATTATCACTTGAGAGCTACCGTTTTGTAATAAAAAGAAACTCATTGTAAGGAAATATTTTGTAATTTTAAAACTAGCATTAATAACGTTAAAATCCTTAATTCTATTAAATACTACAAATGTATTTTTTTTTTCCAAAATCACTTTATTAAGTATCGCTCAAAAAGAGGAACCTAGTTTATGATATTTACAACAATGAATAATATATGATGGTTATTCACATATTAAACAAAATGTTAACGAGGGATTCAATCCCGGTTCATGACTGTCGGGAATCGAGGGTGTTACCCACTCGTCCACCGACTGTATTGTAGAAACGACATTTTACAATTATACCGCAAATGTTTCTTTCAAACGAAAAAAAGAAATTTGTTTTAAGAAGAAATAACGATTATTTCTAAACTTAAGGATGAAGTATTAAAGGATGAATTGTGAAGAGTAATGATAAACAGAAATATAGTGTGTCCCTTTTTCCGTTTATCATTACTCTTCACAATTCATACTTCATCCCTAAGGTTATAAATAATCGTTATTTCTCCTTAAAATAAATTTCGATTTTTCGTTCAAAAGAAAAAAACATGCGGGATAATTGTCAAATGTCGTTCTACAATCATAAGCCGCATTATATTGTATTATATATATTGTATTTGAGAGTGGTAAGCAATGATTGAGCATAACAATTTCATACTAAACGCAAAAACTCCACACAATTTATTATTACAAATCTATGTAGATATTCAATGTGAAATATTATCTGATCTCTGTGCTGTATTTATATAAATAAATTGGAGTATTGGAGTCCATCCAAATGGTGAACGAGCCATTCTCCCAATAAAATATAGGGAGATATATGTAATAATTTATCTCTTCAGAATTAGAAAAATAGATTCGCCGAGATGCTCTTGTGGAGCGGAAGAAGAAACCCCCGAACACATTCTGAACTCATGCCCACTGGTGGTAAACCTAAGACAGCAGAGCGCAAGATGGAAAGAACTCATCTGGGTCAAATAGTTTATAATAGGGAAAGATATATGAAATTTAATAGGTTCTTCAGACTTTTTATTATAAATAGACAGCTTCATGCAGCTTGAGGAAATACACTACTATGCGACTTGATTTACATCAATGTAAATAATTAATAAGTTACTTTAGAACATAACTCATTGTAAATAGCTCAACTTGATCAACTTTCTCTCTCCACGATACTAATTATTACAGATAACTTCATTAAATCAACTTCCATCATTGCTTAACATATTGTAAATAACTACCTTGAGATTTATTCTAAAGCGTGTCTTATTTGCAACTGGTGAATAAATAAATTATCTCAGATATTTTAACTGGATTCTTTTCTTATTTCTTGATACGCAATGGTAATATAAATGGAAGAGATTAAAATAGAATCTACAAGAAATCAATCCAAGTTTAGCGGTTACACTATATCTCTGGATACATACATTGTATCAAGTGGTTACACTAAGAAATAAGCATTTTCTGTTCGATAACTATTTGGTATTTATTCCGAAAGATGGCGCAAGCCATCAGCATCCTATATTTGCACATTGGGGAAAGATGTTTTTTTTTCTTCTTAAAGTTAATGAATTTTATTTTTAAAAATGCTGTCATCAGTGTAATTTGCTTTTTTTTTTTGTGACTTCAACTCATAATTTTTGTCTGTTTTTGAATAAATCATGATTTTTTTTTTAATTTTAAATTTTAATTATTCCGACAGATGGCGCAAGCCATCAGCATCCTATATTTGCACCTTCAGGAAAGATGTTTTTTTTTTCTTCTTAAAGTTAATGAATTTTATTTTTAAAAATGCTGTCATCAGTGTAATTTGCTTCTTTTTTTTGCGACTTCAACTCATAATTTTTGTCTGTTTTTGAATAAATCATTTTTTTTTACTTCTCCCTAGTACACGTGTTACAGGCCATGATAATCATGGTGGATAGCAGTTAATGACTACTTTTTACTGTAAGTACACCACATGTCAAACTATGCAGAAAACAGTTCGATTTTTGCACTTATAAATGTGTGCCAGAGTCCATTTTGGTTACTTGCACTCACTGGTGGGGTCTGATTTTTCAAAGAATCGAAAAGTTATTGAAATAATTTTTTTTTTCTTTTATTAAAAAAACGTGTCCAAATCGGGATTCGAACCCGGGTCATTGCAGTCGAAAAACAACGGTTTATACCATTACTCCACCAGACACATTGATTAGTATACAAGTTTAATGGTATATTAATGTCTCCAACAAAGAAACAAAATCTTAACGGTTCAAATCACCCTAAAATTAACCAGAATGGAAATAGGAGGAAAAACAAATTTTAAAAATGTGTTCGCCATGATGATTTTAAACTAATTGCTTCCTCTATTTTTACCAAATTAAACCTCTATTACCCCATAGTGCATGTCAGGATATTTCACATTTAATTACTTCTAAATTGGTTTAAAATGAAATTTTAGTGTTAGAACATATTTTTAGATTATTTTTTTTTACTTTTTAACCTAATTCAAAACAACTTATGGCTTTTAAAATTCGCTTGTAAGGTATTTCTTTTAATTTCATGCTCAATTCTCTCCACTAAATGTTCATTTAAATTGTGCGCTTGTATTAAATCCTTGTTGATGAGAAATTATTTCCTTTTTTTAAATTTTTAGTTAAAATGTATTTTACCAAAAAGGTAATTTTCTCTTGAATTTCTACAAGAACCGCAAACTGTATAAAAACATGTTAATTTATTTAACGGAAAAAAACCACAATGTTAAATAAATAAATATTTATATAGACTAGATTATAAATTAGCGCATTTAAATTTTTATTCAAATTGAAGATAAAATTTTACGCTATTTATTTGCATGTAAATGAAAGGATTTAAAAGCACGAATGTTTCTTTTATACATAAAACGAACTTCTACTGTCCTTACTGCGATGAAAAAATATATTGGGAGGGCTTGGCTCATCAGTGGTAAACCCTCCCAGCGGTTTCGCCAATTTAATCCACCAGACCGCTTCTCAGAGCTCTAATGCTGTATTGGATCATTCTGCTTTTATATGCTACACTGAAGGATGGAATCTTATAAATGGTTTTCAAGTAAACTATGGACATAAGCTTATAGGACAGTAGAATTACATTCAAATATTTGCTTCGAGCAATGCTCTTCAGCAAACTATAAAATTCTACTGTCCTATAAGCTTATGTCCATAGTTTACTTGAAAACCATTTCTAAGATTCCATCCTTCAGTGTAGCATATAAAAGCAGAATGATCCAATACAGCATTAGAGCTCCGAGAAGCGGTCTGGTGGATTAAATTGGCGAAACCGCTGGGAGGGTTCACCACTGATGAGCCAAGCCCTCCCAATATATTTTTTCATCGCAGTAAGGACAGTAGAAGTTCGTTTTATGTATAAAAGAAACATTCGCGCTTTTAAATCCTTTTATTTTATATGTATAGATGGCGCGTTATTGCTTTGTGTATAAATAAATATTGTGTGACGTTTCGGTAACAGCATTGTTACCATCTTCAGACAAAAGTACTTTTTTGTCTGAAGATGGTAACAACGCTGTTACCGAAACGTCACACAATATTTATTTATTTGAATTTGGTCTTATTAACTTAGATTTTTATACTGTATACCTATCCCCCGATTTACACTGTAGATACGTTCCTGAGAAAAACGTGTAAATCGGGGGATAGGTGTACACAGAATTAAAAATAAAATGCATTGACAGGTTAAAATATGTAGTCAGCACATAAGCTCGGGATTCCTCGTGAGATGTGTACACAGCGCATGTGTTCAATCACAGTAGCATTTAGTATAGTGCGATAAAAAAAAAAACTTATTTGGAAAACCGTGTAAAAGCGAAAATGTGTAAAACAAGTACCGTGTCAATCGGGGGATAGGTGTATATTCAAACTCTAAATAGGAAAGTAAGTAAACACGAGAAGAGATTTTTTTTCACTTAGGAAACATCAGCGTTAAGAGAAATTCCACACACCAGTAGAAGTGTGGAGAAGTAAGATTGACAAATGCTGTGGACCCAGGTTTCATTAGGTGTGGTGGCTGGGGCCGGATTACCTGCTAACCCATTGATCAAGTGAGATTACACTGACTTCCTAACCTTCACCAAGGACATTTAGCCATGGTTCGCAGACATTAGATCCACTTAGATTGATATTGAAACCACTTTAATGGACTTATAGTCAACAATAACAAAGAACACTTATAGACATCAACAATATAATTTATAATACAATATAATGCGGCTTGTGATTGTAAAACGACATTTGAAATACTATCCCGCATGTGTTTCTTTTCAACAAAAAAATCATAATTTATTTCAAGGAGAAATAACGATTATTTCCAACCTTTGGGATGAAGTATGAAAGGATGAATTGTGAAGAGTAATGATAAATGGAAAAATAAAAGTATCCAGGGATGGGAATCGAATCCACAGTATTCCGCTTACCGGGCAGATGCCATGTCCACTAGACTACCCTGGACATATTTTTCCGTTCGTAAATAATAAAGTAATTTATAGTACAAATTACAATAGAATTTATACAAATATATATTTACATCAACTCGAAGCCTTCTCCGAAGAACGTCAAGTTTAAACCAAGGGTTAAGACACCCTGAATTTGGATAGACCTTTGGTTATAATGGAGGTTTTGTTCCCTAACATGTTTAATGGCCATGTTGAGGAATTCGCAGAGAATGATCTTGTTTCCTTTAGAGAGTGTCTTGGAGAGTACCTCCTTCACATGGCGGTATAGGACCACTACTTCAAACCTACACTTGTGATCCACTTAGAGATCTAACTTTTTTAATATATAAATTAAGAGATAGACATCTCCTCATCGTTTAACTTAAAGTTACTGATGGCTTGCGTCATCTACCGGAATAAGTATCAACTGATGATCTTTTAATTACACTCTATAGCAAAAAATATTGACGCACCAAGAAGGAATTGTCCGATTTATATGAAAATACAAAGACGTTTCTAACAAAAATCTCTCACCCATAGAACACATCTGGGACATGATGGGAAGGTAACCATCCCGGAATGTTGACATCCCGACAGTTGGAGACAATTTGACATCTCGCAAAACACCATCCAGTATCAGTCTATGACACGGCGTCCAGATCAGTCCAACGACATATTGACTTTCTCAATTTGTGACGATCTACTAACTCAAATAATTAATTGTTCTGAAAATTTCATCGTTTCTTCTCCCTATATATGTTGTTTATAAACACCAATTTATGCTCCAATATGACAAATCCTTCTTGGTGCGTCTCGATTTTTTGTTATAGAGTGTATTCCAGAATTAGCTAAATACCCTTTATTGATTAATAAAAAAAATCTGATATTTATTCCGAGGACCCAATAACAAGAAAGTGTCCTTCTTCATTACAAGAATGAAGTCGTAGACTTATTTCGGCTTTTATTTGGTTCTCTTTTGTGGTAGCTATTCCATTAGGAAGTTATCCGTCCTCTACTGGAGTTGTACTTTGACTGGGAGGTACAAATAGGGTTTTTTTATTCATTGGGATTGAGACTAAATTGAATTTCTCTAAACCTCTCCAGTACTTGTAGAAGAATACAGTGTATATACCTAGAGGTTCTGAACAATAAATCAATCCATATTTAAATCTTTAGATAATAAAAAGGCATATATTCGAATGGCGCTATGCGGCACTGAGTTTGTTTATACAAAATGTAATGTCTTGATAAAGGTTAGGCATTCAGCCTACCAAAATATTGGCAAATGAATCTTTTTATTCAATCCAATATATGACTTTTTATTTTACTTAGAGGTTACCTGGGGGAGGGGGAGTGTAATAGTATACAAACAAGGTAAGAGAACAGGTTATGCAAATCTGACCCGCCTTCTCGATGATTTTTATTCAATCCAATATATATATTTTTATTTTACCCAGAAGTTAACTGGCGGGATGTAACAGTATGCAAACAGGGTAAGAAAACAGGTTATGCAAATCTGACCCACCTTCACTATTTTTATTCAATCCGATATATGTATTTTAATTATACCCAGAGAGAAAGAGAGAGGTTAACTGGCGGGATGTACCAGTATGCAAACAAGGTAAGAGAACACGTTATATGCAAATCTGACCCACCTTCACCATTTTTATTCATTTCGATATATGGCTTTTAATTATACCCAGAGAGAAAGAGAGAGGTTAACTGCCGGGATGTACCAGTATGCAAACAAGAGAACACGTTATGCAAATCTGACCCACCTTCACCATTTTTATTCATTTCGATATATGGCTTTTAATTATACCCAGAGAGATAGAGAGAGGTTAACTGGCGAGATGAAGCAGTATGTAAACAAGGTAAGAGAATACGTTATGCAAATCTGACCCACCTTCACGATTTTTATTCAATCCGATATATGCCTTTTTTATTATACCCAGAGGTTATTATCAACTAAGGGGGTGTAGCAGTATGCAAACAAGGTAAGAGTACAGGTTATGCAAATCTGACCCACCTTCTCAATGATTTCCTTGACCAGTCCGTTCCATTCCCCCGTCGTGGTGTTCTCCGCTCCAAACTTGTTATCCGGGACCAGGTAGAGCTCGTAGCTGAAGCCCAGCAGCTGGGAGAGGGTGACCAGAAGGTCAATGCAGAATCCTTCGAAGCGGTCGTTGCCGGTGCTGTTGATCCCAGGTCGCAGCATGACGTAGGGTGAGGACTCGATGGTGGTGACCCGCAGGGTGATGTTGGAGGTCCCCAGCTCACGGAACGCCAGGGGGTGGGTGATGTTGAGTCCGTGGGTGGAGGACCATTCCCCCACTTGGCCCCACGTCGCAGACTGCGCATCACCGTATCCCTTCAATGTCGACATTATACTTCAAATTAAGTTACATCATTTCTGAGGGACGTTGAAACTACGATTGGACTGTTCCACGCTAAGGCCTACTGGGCTACAAGGTAAGAGAACAGGTTATGCAAATCTGACTCACCTTCTCAATGATTTTTATTCAATCCAATATTTGCCTTATTATTACACCTAGAGGTTAACTGGCGGGATGTACCAGTATATGCAAATAAGGTAAGAGAACAGGTTATGCAAATATGATTCACTTTCTCGATTTTTATTCAATCCAATATTTGCCTTATTATTATACCCAGTGGTTAACTGGCGGGATGTAGCAGTATATGCAAATAAGATAGGAGA